ACAATCCTACGACTCGTAGAGTACAGGACTATATCTGGTCTTAGGGTGGTAAGTGCAACACAGCTAGGGAAAGAAATCTTTGCACTAACTGAGTCGACAAGAAGTTTCCAGTCTGAGGCCGCTGACAGGAGATCAGTCGTAACCAACTTTCGTCTGGGCTTAACGCGAACTGGCTTCTCTCCCGCCTTGCAAAACGAGATGAAGTCAAGCTCATTTAGAGAGAGAGAGAGAGAGAGAGAGAGAGAGAGAGAGAGAGAGAGAGGAGAGAGAGAGAGAGAGAGAGAGAGAGAGAGAGAGAGAGAGAGAGAGAGAGGGAGGGAGGGAGGGAGGGAGGGAGGGAGGGAGGGAGTCGTAGGATTGTATTCTTCATCTTCATCACTGTCATCCGAAACACACCCAATAAGAGACTTTCTCGAGTCTGCCATGGCATAAACTACTCAACAAGAAGCTAACCCACGGAATGCGGAAGTGACGTTCAGGTTTGGGAAGTAACTTTTTCTTCTCTCAATTTTGATACACAACGGCTCCGTTTCCCCCAAAATGCTGCATCACGAGCCCAAAGTGCTGGGTTTGCGGATTGTACCGAAAATGCTCAAAAAAATGCCGGCATATTACACGGGGGCCGTATACAGTGTAGTTGGTGGTACGAGTGTTCAAAACCATTTGAACTACATGTAATTACTTCATACTGTTCGTCTTCTTTTTTACATGCTCTCTTTCCATCGTCCTTAGGGTTTTGTTTGTTGTGAGCTGTTTTGGCTTTCTCCTATACATCTGGGGATGCCAAGTGCTGGTTTTGAGAGGCTGGTGATGGCTGTGAGCGAGAGTTCTGCCGATCGGCCCGGCTTACTTTTTCTCAGTGGGCTTCGAAGTCTTCTCGTGGCTATCTGCAGGGCGCTGCCACCTGAAGCGGGTGGTGCTGGTGCAGGATGTGGCGGCATGTCCTTTGTCTTCACATGAACTGCAGGCGTAGAGACGGTCGCACCGGGGTGTGCGGGAACAGGGCCTGCCGCGGTTGAAGTTAAAACAGACTTGGCGGGTGCTGCCCGCCACTGATGGAAAGGGCTGCGCGTGTTGAGCTGCGGCATGTGGGCAGCGGTCGCGGCTGTTTTGGAGCGTGCATTTGGTGCATGACGGACGGGGACTCGGAGCGGAGTAGGTGAATACTCCACAGTGTCTGATTGATCACGTCCCAGCGCAGTGCCATGCTGGCGGTGTGTTGGCGAAATGCTCGATCATAGTTCAGCACAGCAGACGTCGTGAACTGTTGGTTCGCAGTACAAAGTATGTGCTGGTAGCAGACAAGCTCATGAGCTCGGTCAGGACGAGCAAGAACGACGATGCCCATGTAGATCGTCCAGGCCTCCAGCCAAGCCAAGAAGTCGTTGATCGCGCGCGCGCGCGCGTGTGCTTTGCGCTGAGGTTGAGCGAGAGCTGAGCCATGTCGCCGCCAGCTGTAACCAGTTGAGTTGTATTGGCTCCTGTCCCTGGGAGCTGAATTTTCCGGCAAGAGTTCCTCAAGTTCCACAAACTCTCCGCGCTGGATTTTTTCAATCGCACGACGTGGCGGTGTGGGTAGAACCGAGGGCTTGGAGAGAACTGGAGGTCCTGGCAAAGTCGGAGGTTCCGATAGAACTGGAAGTTCCGGGCAGGATAGGTCCGGAGCTTGACGCTCGAAGCGTGGGAGCGATCTTTCGGGTCCGGAGCGCGCGCGTGGGAGAGATCGGCTTCCAGATCAGACTCAGCACTGTTCTCCAGGCGTTCCACGCGTTCGAGGAGAGAGTGGAGGGTGTTCATCTTCATAACGGCTGAGGAAATGATGTCCGGGGAGAGCAATGAGGGCTCGTCCTGCATAGAAGCGTCGGTGCCTGGAGCGGGGTCAGAAGTCTGAACTAGCTGCTGACGGTGTGTCGGAGGCATCAGGCGCGAAGGCGCGCATGCCGTCAGTCCGCGCGTATGGCGATGTCGAAGCCCTAGTCCGTCAATGTGGACCCACTGCATACCGATATTGCAATGTCAAACAGATCCTGCAGGAGAAGACTGGGATGTTGGCGTCCAGTGTACAGACACCAGTCGCATTTCCTGCGTCTTTTGCAGCATACAGGATAGACTCATCACTGTAGAGTCCACTACTTCGTGACTTTTATTTGTAGAATACATGACAGGCGTATTCAGTGTGCCTCGCAGGACTGCGAGATGCTGCAGAAGACCAGGTTCAACCTTTCTGGACGGCCATTCACTGACAGTGGGCTACACGATGCTGGAGGAACTAGATTCCAGTGAAAACCCAAGATTCCTTTGCTCCTGGACGCTCCGACGTGTTGTGATATCTGCCAGGTGCGCAGTAACTAGTATTTTCATCGCTATAGCGAGGACGACGCCGATCGGCAAAACTCTCGCTCACAGCCATCACCAGCCTCTCAAAACCATCACTTGGCATCCCCAGAGGTATAGGAGAAAGCCAAAACAGCTCACAACAAACAAAAGCTAAGGACGATGGAAAGAGAGCATATCAAAAAGAAGACGAACAGTATGAAGTTCAAAATAATGGTTTTGAACACTCGTGCCACCAACTACATGTTATGATGTCATGTACCACTTTCAATAAATCGTGACGCCATTTTGTTTTAACACGCATGTCGCGGATCAGCACAATGACGGGTCGCCATGACTGCGTGATATCCTGTCCAAGTCAAAGGCTACACATGTACGAGTGCGAGCGCGTTCTGACTCTTCACACAAGTGGGTCCTCCGCGTTGTCTGCTGAGCTGCATGCTTGCACTGCGTTACGCTTCGGCGCACAGTCCACGGGCACACACGGCATGCACTCCCCCGATTCACCATGGAGACGGGATCCTTTATATACCGTGGACCGCCATCTTGCGCCCGATCTCTCCTTTGTGCTTTCAGTCTGGAGGTAGAGCTTTTTTCCCTTCTCTCTTTGTCGACGCTAGTTTGAGCTGACTTTAGAACTTTCATCATGAAGATCTTCAGGGACGTTATCTCTGGTAAGTATGTAGAATTTGTCTGAAGTGTTCCGAGGCGGTCTGTTGAGAAATGGTGGCCGTTTTATCGCCATCTGCAGGCGATGAGCTATTCAGCGATACTTTCCCAATGAAATTGGTGGACGATCTCTATTACGAGGTCGAGGGAAAGGTAAGTTTGGTGAAGTGGAGTTCGTTGTTTGTCATGGATGTGGCCAGTAGTATCGTTGCATCTATGCATTGCCTCTCAGACTGTCACCGAAAGCAGTGAGTTGGATGATTCCCTCTTCGGTGGTAATGCCTCTGCTGAGGGTGCTGATGAGGGTGCTGGTGCTGATGGAACCGTTGCTTCTACTGGAATCAACGTTGTGATGTCTCACCGTCTTTCTGAGACTGTCTTCACGAAGAAGTCCTATCAGCTGCATATTAAGGAATACATGAAGGCCATCAAGGCACACCTGGCTACTGAGACCCCAGCCCGTGTTGACACGTTCGTCAAGGGCATGCCTGCCGTTATCAAGAAGTTCTTGGGCCAGTTCGACAACTTCCAGTTCTTTAATGGCGAGTCAATGAACCCCGACGGCATGGCCATCCTGATGAACTACCGTGAGGATGGTATCACCCCATTCTTCGTCTTCTTCAAGGATGGTTTGGTCGAGGAGAAATGCTAAAACCAAGGTGAGAATGATTTTTTTGTTCAAGATCCTACAATTTAAACAAATCGCCATTATTCAACTAAAAAATGTTGTGCTCATTATGCCTCCCCACATCTTACTGCGTGACCCGTGTTGACTATCAGCAGCCGACGTATCATTCATGCTTTTGTCCTTTGTTAGCGGGGCTAGCAATGGATCGGCGAGTTATTGCGCATAAATGCGTTTTCTTTGTTCAATTCTAGTCTAGGTGCTCACAAGTATCTTTGATGATCGTAATCCAGTGCCTTGTTGCCAATCCTCAAACTGGTTGGGCAGATGTGACGTCATTCAGCGCTTTGAATCTTTTCTTTCTAATTTTGAAATGCGGGTCTACCCTCGTTAGTAGATAACCTCGGCCGGGGGGTTTGAATTGCTCGTCTTATATAATGAGTATTATCTATTATTCAGACGTGAATGTATGCTTTTCAGGCGTCAGGGGATGTTGATCATTGTCTACTAAGGCGATCTGTCTTGTAACTGATGTCATACTAACAAGGGTAGACATGTACATGGCTGTGTTGTTCCTGGGTGGTATATGCCAGCTTTATACTGCTGTCGTGGATATGGAAATCTGGCTCGTGCCCTCAGTGCGTAGTGCGTACCGAACGTTACATGCAGTGCATATGTTGAACCGGTGCCGCAGCGCAAAAACGAATGTGTGTACTGTATACGTACTCGCGGCTACTTTGGCCGCTTGAGAGCTCTGACCGTATTTTCATGTCCACGACAGTACCTACTCCCAACGAATAACCGCGCCAGGGGGAAACGGCACATTTATGTTCCTCCTATTTACACAACATGGGTGTCCAGTCCTGTTCCCATGCATTCCTTCCCAAGTTTGCTATTGTACGCATCCTCGATGTGAATGTAGTGGTTATAAGGGTGCGGTTTTTACATTTCTCATTGTACTCGCGTTTGCCATTTCTGGCCTGCATTGCACGGCTTCTATAGGTTTTCATTCGTGCGTCGTCACGTTGACGTGGTTTAGGATGTGGCGTGAAGTCTACCTAAGCTGATCCATGTGTGTAGTGCCTGGTTGGGTTGATGTGTGTGCAGTCTGTGTTTTCCCCCGTTTTGTATCCACATCTTTGGTGTGGCGTTGTGGTGTTCTGGCTGTCAATCTTATGGCTCTTTGTTTGTGTCTGTGTGGCTCTTCCTTCTGCAGATTCTACCGACATCTGCCATTATACTGCAGCAACGTACACGTGCAACATCACTGCGCCAGGTTATGCTGCCTGCTAGTCGATTTTATCATTGCGTTGGTCACTAAGCACGGACACGCGCACGCTGCAGCAGCGAGTGTGTATGTGCCTATATACTCGCCGTTGCAACAACAACCGCCACTCTGCTCTTGCTGCTGTCTTTCTGACGTGCCCTGCGCGTCGTCCCCAATGCCCATCGCCCTATGGGATCGCTGCTAGATCACTGACTTGTTTGGTGACTGCAGCTTTGAGGAGAGACTCCCAGTGTACATGTTACATCTGTACTTGATTTTTTTAAACTCTGCTGCTCTGGTGGTTGTTTGTCCTGAAAGTGTGCTGCTGCTGCTGTGCACCTTCCCCAAGTGATATTCGACAACAAGCATTATTATTCTCTGCGCTGCTACTGTGTACGAGCTCTTTCATACTGACTGTACACACCTCCATCAGATCTGACACTCGGTATTTTCCATCGACAACTCAATCTGTTCCTTTGTGTGTGTATGTATGTATGTTGCCTCTCTGGGTACGCACACGTAATGTGATCGTTCAGGTGGGGAACAGAACAAGGTGTTGTTGGTTTGTAGCTGACACTTGCATTCAGCAAAATTAGCTGAGTTCTAAAAATGGTTTGAAAAACTTATGCAATTGGAAGATCGTGAACTCCATTGTCCAAGATAAGAAATAATAAGAGCGAGAAATATCCTATGTCTGGCTAATGGGCATCACTGTCTGTACACTAGGTGTAGAACAAAGCTATGTACAACCCTGAAGAGGGCGACTCCATGGGCATGGTTTTTAAAAAAAAATGGAAGGTGTTATGCTTAAAAAATATTGACCAAATGGGTCTTTTGTGAACAAGGCAATTCATGGACCTTGTGCATGTGATGTCTTGGGTTTGCCAGTCTGATTATCTGGCTGCTGAACCAGCAAGGCAGGTTTGGATATTTTCTTTGTTCACTCCTCGTGAAGTCTGAACTTCTTTGCAAGCTCCCCTAGGTCCTCATGATCTTCAGCATCAGCAATAATCTGTGTGGTGATAGAAATAAAAACAACAGTGCAGCATAAATAACGTTAACCACAGTTTGGGAGCAGACATCAATAATCCGCCCTATCTGATTGTAGAGATACAAAGTGTACACCCAGCAGCGTACACACAGTACAACCAAAATGACTATGTGAACAGAAGTTTCTTGGGCTGTGTTTACATGAGAAATTTCAACACGGGTCGAGTTCAGCCCGGGTTGAAAGTCTGTACGACAAACAAAAGAGGTGAGCGTTTACATGAAGACAGTTGACCCGGGTCAAATACTGATATGCCGCCAAAAGTCCACTTCTACAGTCCTGTATGGTCACGTGAATCCGTTCGCGCGAAATTTGCATCTGCAGTGCTGTTCAAACCTGGCGCGAGATACGCACAGAAGTACGTTTGTACGATTTTCTTGACCCGGGTTGATTTCAACCCTCCCCCCCCAAGGGGAGGGTTGAAATCAACCCGGGGCGAAATTTCAACCCGGGTCAAGCGCAATGCGTCATGTAAACGCGCCATTCACTTTGTGCACATGGCGGGTTGAAATCTGACCCGGGTCGAACTCAACCCGGGTTGAAACGCTTCATGTAAACACAGCCTAAATGACCTGTCCCCACAGAATGACGCGGACAAAATCCTAAAAAATATGCGGGCGAAAACAGGCCACTATGCGGTAAATATGCGGTATAATGCGGTCATTATGCACGAGTTGTCTGTCATCGGTACACATTTAGCGTACAGAGTACTCTAATTTCAGAAATTTTCGGTGCTCAATATTTTCGGTATGAGGGCAACAGGCTACAGTCCATTCATAAAAAGATGGGCTCTGGCTCTGGCGAGCTCCCGTATTTGGCGATTTTTCGTGATTTCATCGTACACAGTGCAGTGCTGCGAAATTTGAAATTTGAAAAAGGGTCCAAAAAGGGTACCTGAACTGGGGTTCGAACCGCACAATGCACGTTTGCAGGCGGGGTCAAACGGCCTGGATTTTTATGGTTTTTCCCAATTCAGTGCTGTTGGGGCAAAACCTGGCCGGAATTCTATTCTTGTTATGGCTTGCTTTTTGGACAAAAAAACTTCAGAAACATAATTGGAAGAGGATTCCATAGGGGATTGCAGAAAAAAATTCTAAAAAAACTCAAAGTTTGACCCATTTATGGCCAAAAGCTAGAAGTCCATCTTTTTCTGAATGGACTGTAGGTTAGGTGAACAGAAATTTTCGGTACAGAGAAGCAGTTCCCTATTGGATTATGTGTGTTAGTGTTTGTTCGGTGTATTGAAATTTTAGGTGTGAAACAGACGCACCGAAAGTACCGAAAATAAAAGTACACCGAAAATTTGTGAAATTACAGTACACCTTTCAAATGGTGAACGGTACTATTCGGCAAAAAATGTAAAGAACTCTTGAGTCGGCTGTGAGAGCGCATGGAGGAGAGGAGAGGAAGAGAGTACACCTTTGTCGTACAAACTCATGGGCAGATACGACGTTGTAGTACATTTTCAAAATCATGTACTGTTTTCTTGTATATTCCCATGGACAACGCGGGGTTTATGCAAAATTTCGCGAAAACCCGGATGAAAGCCAAATTTGCGCGTCCGCGGAATCGCGGTATCCTGTGTGAACAGCTTCACCTCCGCTCTGCATCCAGTCACACTGTGCAGGACTGTGTGCATGTCTGTCTAAGTCATGCACAGTAAGTACGTTCTTACTTGAGATATTCGGTACGCAATAGTCACAGATCCGCATAGAAAAAACTAACACAGGGCTCCTGGGTTTGCGCCTTTCCCTCAAACGAGTGAATATTGTATACTTCTGTTCACATACACTGTACTGCAGACGACTTCAAAGACGAGGAGGCTGTGTGCCGGTTACCGCGTGCACAACAAGCGTGTGCCACACACCTTGCAACTACGCACAGTACAAAAGTGCTGCTCAATGATATCTGATCACATGACATGAGTGAAGTCTGTGCCCTGTACCAGTGAAAAAGCCCAGTGTTCCCAGGTCAGAGGTTGCAATGCATGCACCGCGCTGCCCGGCGTTGTACGACCGGATTTCATTGAGCTACTAGTGCGACATTCGGCTAGAAGCTGGCAAGGAAACAGGCTAGAAATCCAATACGATCCGTACAATGCAAACGGTTCAGCAAGTCACTGCAATGAGACACAAGTGTGAACAGAAAGTGCCTGTTGCAGGCTGCCATCGCAGTCACGAATTCGTTGCCGCATAAACTGAACGGAGTTCAACTCTGTTTGGCATGCAACAGCTCCACACAGGTGATAGACACATTTTGGGTGGGGGGGGGGGGGGGCATACCGTGGCTTGGCTATGATGCTGGCAAACACACAGAGTAATACACACACAAACAACACACAGCAGCTCACCCTTCTTGCCAGAGGCATACGGTGGAAGACATTCCACAGGAGAATACCAACAACCTTCTTCTCTCGCATGTAGAAGACAACGCCCTTTCCATAATTCTCTGGGTCCACCTTCTTCTCCGCATCCTGAACCAGTTCCTTAGTGACAGGCTCTTTCTTCGCCTTCTTGGACTTCTTTTTTTTCTTTGGTTTCTCGTCAGACACTTCCTCCTGCTGCGTGAACGGAGAGAGAGAGAGTGAGAGAGAGAGAGAGAGAGAGAGAGAGAGAGAGAGAGAGAGAGAGAGAGAGCGGCACAGAGAAATAAGAATGGTTTGAAAAAGCTCATGCATGCCATACACCACACACACACACACACACACACACACACACCACCCCCCCCCCCCCCACACACACACACACACACACGCACGTGGTGCTGGCTGGGCGAACTACAAGCTTACATACATGTTTTCACGATGACAGTCTATCAGGCAAGGCTTGCATATCAGTTTACAACCAGTAGAACACCCGTAATCTGGGCACATCCGTCTACCAGACACCTTCTGACCCATCTAGAGTCATAAAAGGGCTTTCCAACGAAAAACGGCCCCTAAACTATTGACAGGCATACAAATGTTTACTTGCATGCAGTAGGTATGTATGTTGTGAGTTGCAGGCAATTCCCAATTACGGGCAGTGCTCGGTCTCGACCTGCACGGATTAGGAGAGCTTTACTGTGCAATGTCATGTATTATTGCTTCTTGAAGTATTCATAAGGTTGAGGGAGTGGAAATGGGAAAAGCCCGAAGAACAAATAGGAGATTGTTTTTGACTGTAACCAGCAGGACAGACGCCAGGGAGCCTCGCTAATGGCCAGCGATGCTCTATCACTAAGCTATGGTGTAGTAGTACTTTCGTTTAGTGGCAAGAAACCACTTTGTCACAAGCCGACCAATCGAGCTACGCAGGACAGAAGATTGCGAGATCGTGAAAGATATACTGAAGTAGAAACACAGCAATTTCTACCCAGGGTTTCCAAAAGGACAAAAGGAGGTACTTCTCGCCTAAGTGTTTAAATGCCGTGCCCGGTCCCGGGTTTAAATGACTCTCTGGCCAACATGAATGAAGCATCTTCGTGTTCTGTTGCATCCACAATATCTGCAGCACACCCCTCTCTGACATGTTCTCCCTCCGCCGTGACTGCGCTCACACAGATAGAGTCACCCGGGGCCAAGTCAATAATCCCCGTTCTTTACCCAAGGCAGGCAGAGTGGGATGGTCTAAGACTATGATTGAGAAATAGAGGGTACCAGGTTCAAGTTCTGCTTGGAAGCGGAAGGAATTTTTCCAGCCGTGCTGCGACCCACAGTTAATTGGGTGGGTCTGATCTACTCACCTCCCACCGTTTAGGTTCTGCATCTGCGCCTTGATCCTAGAGGGTGGTGGCGTTCCTACGGATGCGAAAACGCGGCTTCCAGTCGAGTCTCACGCAAACCGTGATTTTTATTTTTACCTATGGTGCAAACTCAAGCTGGATACAAATCTATTTCATTCCTTGGTGCTGAACGCTTTTGTGCGCTTCCCGAATCCCTTTGCACTAATCATATCCCCAATTCTTTTCGCCAAGAACTTACACATTCATTCATCTTGGGCACCCTGTAAGAAGACCTTAGGGTCTGTTGGGAATGCCCAAGTAAAATAATAAAATACAAATACAAGCATGCCTGATTGTACACATGACAGTGTATACAATGTACTCGAAGAAACAACAACGGGCAAATTGAGCAGCTCACGGCACACTCACTTCTGTGTCAGATCGCAGCGTGTTGTCACCCTGTGCTGAGGCTGCTGCTGCAGCTGGTGTGTCCTGTGCGGTTGCCTTGGCCCACACAGCAACGGTGGGCAGCTGGCTGTCACAGACACCAATGGCTTCATAGCCTACCTCCGGTCCAAGGTCACTCCTGCACACAGATAGCAGTATTATGGAGACAAACCAGCCAGTCACAGCTGTATAGTGACGATTGTGTAAATAGCTTCACACACCCGGAACCGCTGACCACTGTACTACCGGTACTCGACTACTGGGAGAACCATAAAAGGCAGTATGCTGTACCCTAGCATGATTGCTGACAACTCTGCTAGTCTATCAAGCACAAGTGTACTCTGAGCAGTACATGTACAGTGGAACATCAGTGATGGATACGCCAGGGACCTGAATATAGGGGATGTGACTGTTATGTAGGGGTGAAAGTTGGCACTGAGATCCCGAGTTCGAGTACTCTGATTTTCTCCGATCTAATATTCGAGTATTCGAGTATTCTTCATCTCCTAAAAGTTGCACACCAGGGGCCTTAAAATCACATGATACAACCCTGATTGAACCAAGTGGCAGGCATTTTACTCAGGTATATTGCATTATTGGTTGGTGGGTCATTTGGGCTCTCTCTGCTCGTGAACAAATGTTCACCACATAGTCTGCACATCAATATCTGCCGACTGCTGCACTGAAACTACAGATTTCTGTGGAAAATGCATGTACCATGCATGAACGAGTACTCTGATTTATTCCGAGTACGATTATTTTTGAAAAAACCGAGCGAGTACTCGAGTATTCGGTATATTTGTTTCACCCCTACTGTTATGTGACTTACACCACACAATGATGTAGCATTGTTTCAGCAGTAGGATTATCAGTGCACACACACACACACACACACACACACACACACACACACACACACACACACACACACTACTACTACCGTAAAGTACCGCCAGAGCGCCCCGTCTCGCGAGAGCGCCCCACCTTGATTTTACAGCCAGAGAAAGGAAAATCGTATGGCAGAGTGCAACGAAGTGTGTACGATGTGAGAATCTTAGTGTACTAAGGTCACACTTGGCAGGTTTTGTGTGGAGCTTGTGTCCTCTTGAAGGTACGGATTGACTGCAAAACGTGCAATATGTGTACAAGGTTCATGTCGTATGACCTACAGACAGCAAACCACCTCCACAATACGACACGAAAGGATGAGATGGTGGGGCGCTCTGGCGGTACTTTACGGTACTACTAGCAGCATGACTGCCCAGAGGGGCAAGTGTCACCCCTATGGAAAGGGGACCAGAAAACGGGACACGGATCACAAGCAGGACCGCGAATGTCTGGCTAGGTCCTGCTGCCGGCGGAAATTGCGTTTACAATGTGGGCAGCTGAGGGGCAGAGCTGCTCTCTCAGCAGCAGATGGTCTCGCACCACGATTGCAGTTGTGACGCTTGAACCCGGCCGCAGAACGGAAGCATCGCTGACATGTTGGGCAGTGCTGCTGGCAACAAGCTGAAAGTGGCACAGACAGACTGACTGTTGGTGTAGGAGAACTCGTGACAGGCTGGCATCGATGAACAGAGTAGCCACCCTTGCTGCGGAACCACCTCTGGCAGTTCTGGCATTGCACTGATCCATGCTGGAGCTGGATGGGAAGCCGTCTCTGAGTGGTGCACTTGTGCCGCGTTCTATCGGAGACCCGTGAGAATTTCCGGTCACACACTACGCAATGCACAGACTTGGGCATGGTGGAGCTCGACTGAGGGGCAACCCGTACTTCCCTCCACTGTTGGCGGTCCTGAGCAAGGATGAACCACTGAGATGGCTGTTGCAGTGCAAACTTGAGGTCGGTCATCACCGTGTCTTTCCACCGTCGCCGGGGACCACAAAACGGCCGAGGCACAGGTAGCCACCCAAAGAGGAGTTGGAGGGGGTGCGATCCTCATCCATACGCGCAACGTGCCCAGTCCATTCCAGACGCCGATTGCGGAGGCGTGTAGACATCAGTACTGGGTCTCCCCAACGGTTCCGCAGGTCTGTGGATGACAGCCGCTCGGACCACTGATGAGGCTTGGTGATGCTGAGGACAGTCCGGATGCATTGATGGTGGAATTTATCCAAACTTCTGATATCCCGTTGGAGTGGGGTCCAACACTCTCCGCCATACAGTAATATTGAGGAAACGCAGGCCATGTACAGGTGGCGTTTACTAGAGAGGGACAGAGATCTGTCAGTGAATACCTTCTGGAGGGCTCCGAAGGCCTTTGAGGCTTCGGCAATACGGCGCTTGATGTCGGATGAAGAACGACTGCCAGGGGTCACTATGGATCCTAGGTAAGTGAACTTCGGCACGGCTTCGATAGTGCCAAGGGGGAGAACGATGTCAGCCGAGTCTTCAGCAGAGACCCCATGGCCCGCCGTCATGATCTTCGTCTTGGCGATGCTCACAGTTAGTCCAAATTCTCGGGCAACACTACAGAAGAGCTCCACACCAAACTCAGCATCACTACGGCATTCAGACACGAGAACGGCATCATCAGCATACTCCAGGTCACTAACAGACAGTGACTGTCTGTCAGTGACCTGGAGTGACACACACACACACCACACGGTCATCATCCAGCTTCAGTTCAATCACTGTATTCTTCCCCTGCAGACTCAACCCCCCTGTCACTAGCCATACAATCTGAAGCTGTATGTAACCATACAATGGCCCACGACGCCCACACCACCCCTACGTTTTTTAACTAAAAAAGAAAAGCAGTCGTAACTGCAACAGCCACATGGCCAATGCAAAACACACACCCAGAAGTCAGGGGTGGGAGGGTGGGATACAAACTGCACCAACGAAAAGCCACTGCGAAGTGACAGGAATGCGGTCCAGCACAACATTTTTGTGGACGCAAAAAGTTGTGGGGAAATCCCAAAATCGGTGAGATTTTGCATGAGCCACAATGTTCAGGTTACCCACAAAGACACAAGCTTTCCAACTCTCTTTGGCCGTTGGAAAGCGTATCTTTCTGTGCCTGTACTCTCGTACTACGTTTCTTTCGATTTCGGCGCTGCCTCTGGCTGGTTGTTTCTTGCTCTCTCTCTAGGTCTGCAATGGCGGAGGAGTTTGATTTACAAGACGCACACGTAACATTGCCGATGTCCAAATTTTGGCACAGGCGAGTGTCGGCCAGGTCCTCTCTCAGCTGGGAAAGTTCGGAGCTCAATCCACTAATCCTTCGTTGATATCGTTTCTCCTGGTCCAGGCCCGTCGCACCGACTTTGGAGGTGGGGCGGCTATGGAAGGGGGTCCTCCCCGGTAAAAATGTCAAAAATTGAAGCCAATTGCAAGCATTTCCGGGTATTGGATGCCATTTCAGTGTACGGTAACTGCAATGAAAGTCTTTTTGATTCTGCAACAAACGAAGAAGCTACGATCGGGGACAAACATTACCCTCCCCGGGAAAAATTTCAAAAATAATTGAAGCCAATGGCAAGCATTTCCAGGCATTTGGTGCCATTTCAGTACATTTTGGTGCAACAAACCACGACGGGGACAAGGATTTGTCACGTTTGCGCTAAGCTGCGATCATTGTGGTTTGTTGTAAATGTGCTCCAAAAAAAAAAAAAAAAAAAAAAAAACGGGCGAAAAAGTGGGGCGGCCTCAGCCGCCCCAGCCGCCCCGCTGTGACAGCCTTGTGGTCCTGAAGTTGGCTTTCAAGACGAGCTAGAGTTCTCAGCACTTCTACAACATTGTGTTCGATTCCAGGCAATGAGCGAAGCTGTGTATGGACCTGTTCGGCGCTCACCAGCTGCTCAGTGTGATCTGGGCTAGCCATCCCACCCAGGCTGTTGGGGCTAGTCCCCAGTTTTCCCGTAGAGTTTAATGTCGTCCATGTACCAAGAGTGATTGCTAGTCAACTCGGCGTCTCTGCAGCTGTCTCTGTATCCCAAAGGCAATGGGTTGAGCTCAAAACTGATTGGGTTTAGCGCCACGCAAAACAGTAACGGGGATAATGTGTCACCTTCAAATATGCCTCTTCTTATACAAATGTTGCCGGCAGTGACCTTGCATCTTCCCTGGTCGCATATGTGCATTGTCGTTCTCCAGTTCTGCATGCTACGAGCAATAGCTGTGACCAAAGACGGGTGGAATCGATACATCATCAAAGAATGTAGAACCCAACCATGCGACACACTATTAAACGCCTTTTTGAAGTCACGGTATGCCATGACCATTATTATTATTATTATTATTATTATTATTATTATTTGGAAAGGATTGGGAGAACTTCAAATTCAAATGATCAGTCGGGGAAGTGAACTGCCTGAAAAGAGAAAAAAAACGCCAGACCCACCAGGACTCGAACCTGGGACCCTGCTTGTCATGAGCAATGCTCCTACCACTGAGCTATGGGACCAGGCTGAACCCAGAAGGCGCTGACAAGTTTTTCACTCCAAAGGCAGCTCACAACACGTGCCACACATACTGATGGCATGAAAAACTTGTCAGCGCCTTCTGGGTTCAGCCTGGTCCCATAGCTGAGTGGTTAGAGCATTGCTCATGACAAGCAGGGTCCCAGGTTCGAGTCCTGGTGGGTCTGGCGTTTTTTTCTCTTTTCAGGCAGTTCACTTCCCCGACTGATCATTTGAATTTGAAGTTCTCCCAATCCTTTCCAAATTTAATCACTTTCTTTCACCTCTGGTAGTTTCCAGAAACTGACCGTGGTTGGTCCCCTGGGGGAGGGAAAAAGACCCAAGTGCCATCAGTATGTGTGGCACGTGTTGTGAGCTGCCTTTGGAGTGAAAAACTTGTCAGCGCCTTCTGGGTTCAGCCTGGTCCCATAGCTGAGTGGTTAGAGCATTGCTCATGACAAGCAGGGTCCCAGGTTCGAGTCCTGGTGGGTCTGGCGTTTTTTTCTCTTTTCAGGCAGTTCACTTCCCCGACTGATCATTTGAATTTGAAGTTCTCCCAATCCTTTCCAAATTTAATCACTTTCTTTCACCTCTGGTAGTTTCCAGAAACTGACCGTGGTTGGTCCCCTGGGGGAGGGAAAAAGACCCAAGTGCCATCAGTATGTGTGGCACGTGTTGTGAGCTACCTTTGGAGTGAAAATTATTATTATTATTATTATTATTATTTAAAAAGGCGACGTGGAGACAATAATCTTAATAATGCAATGAATATAACTAAATGCGTACTCATATCACAACCATGGGGACGAATCATGTACATGTATTCCAGAACGTTTTCTTGTCACAATTATCAATGGAATTCGTGACTTCCGGCAGAGGCTTCTGCTCCACAAACGGTGTCTGGGAAAAACCAACACAGCACGCAGAAATCGCGAACAAACATTAATGTAAACAAAGACGAACACTGTGTCTTATCTTCATTATCAGCGAGTACCGGTACGCCGGACGCAGACAACCGCAACTCACCAAAGCTGAGGAGGAGCAAACGGCTGGCAGCTCGGTTTGCAGAGGTGACTGGAAAGATGCAACGAAACTCTCCGGATATGGATGATGCCAGCGGAAGTTTTGACGACTGTGAGGTGTTTGGCAATGGCAAGGGAAGACCGGTCAGGAAGAGAACGCGACGGCAGCTGGAGGAGGAGTGTGGAAGCGACATGTGCAGTGACGATGATGAACCCGGTGGTCAGTTGCTGGGAGAGCTGACGACAGGTGAAGGTGGCAGCGATGATGAAGAGGACGATGACGATGATGACGATGATGGTGCAGATGGTGTGAAGGACGGTGGTGGTCAGAAACCAAGTGAAGGCAGAGGCGGTAAGAAGAAGAAGAATACATCGGCAATTAAATTGCGTTTGTTGTCTAACCCCGTGTGTCGTGAAAGTTATGATGATTCTTGGTTCAGTGTTGTTCGTTCTGCAAGTAGTTTCAAGCAGTTGAAAGTTCTAGAAGCAGTCTACATTCGCATTCGTGATCCAAATCTTTGTAAACAAAAAGAAAATGTCACCGCACTTACGCTATTCCAGTAAATTCGCACTCACACACACTTGCACATGCATGTCCATTGTCACACTGCACTTTCTGAATTTCCTATCATTTCTCACCTCACCTATAGTTTATTACCTGTGCACATTGTTCCTAGGTTTGTGCTATTTTTCTTACTATGCTTGTATCCTCGCTGTTCCACTCCAAGTGTATAAATCCTATTGTACTTTCATCATTCTCTTTAGTCACGAATTCCATTGATAATTGTGACAAGAAAACGTTCTGGAATACATGTACATGATTCGTCCCCATGGTTGTGATATGAGTGCGCATTTAGTTATATTCATTGCATTATTAAGATTATTATTATTATTTAAAGAGTCGGCGTGGAGAAAGCAATTTTATTAGTGCAATTAGGAGTATAATCGATGCAGACATGGCCAGACAACAACGAGTTCATGGAATTTTTAAGGATTTTTATGTTATTCAAAATCGATTTTCGTGTTCCTTTGTGGCTGCACTCAGTTATATACGTTAGCACTATGTTTGACACCTATTATGTAATGCTGTAGCACTTCCTTTGTTGTTCACACTTTTAATTAATTATGCTGTTATAAAATGTTCTATTTTTGTACACAGTACCCTCAGTTCCGATACTATTCACTGATGAGCGGAACACGAAAATCGATTTTGAATAACATAAAAATCCTTAAAAATTCCATGAACTCGTTGTTGTCTGGCCATGTCTGCATCGATTATACTCCTAATTGCATTATTAACGAAGGTACGTGTTGGGTCGTAAGTATCCACGCAAACACACATCCAGTCAAAATAAGGCACTTGTCAAAGTATCCGAACGTTTTCGGTCCCTTCTCATCAAGGATTATACAGGGAATGGCTCAAGTT